CTCATGAATGCATAACTGGATATGAGGAACACACTTGTGGTATGTCCACGCTCTGTGTGTGTGTGTGTGTGTGTGTGTGTGTGTGTGACTAATCCAATAGTGTTCTCACTTCCTGGGACTGAGAGTGGCAGGAGGGAAGCCACCTCTCACATTTCTCTGACCCTCTTGTTGATGTTGGCTGCCTGGGGGTTTGGAAGGCTAGGAAACCCCCCATCCATGCTGGGTTCCTCTCATCTAAGGTGGAATAGTGTTTCCATTAACCATTGAGAAGACTTCCGGCGTACATAGCTACTGCAATGTGTGCTTTCTTTCAAGAAAACACAGAACTCCCCTTCAGAAGGAAAGTCATCATTTATTATTGTTACAAGGTTTGATTGAATGAATAGCCTTTTCTGAGTATTTCACTTTTCTTATGAGGGGCCATAATAATGTTCTCAATATGCCTGGGATTGTCCAGCACAATCTTGTCGTCTCACACCCATGTGCTACATCATTCTTCTCCATCTCCAAGCCGTGTCTTAGGTGAAATGTCTCCAGAACTCTCCACTCCCTGATGAAATGGCTGTCTGGGGTTGTTTTCCACATGGTGTGGGCACATCACTGGATTAGCAGACATCCAGGAAGCAGGTGTAACTGATTTCAGCTGTGTTCCACGGGCTGCAGAATCCTTTCTAAGTTCCCCCTCGTTTTCACAAGGTTAGAAACCGCAGATTTAGCAATCTCTGGGGTCAAAGGGAAAAAGGAGACACAGAGAGTCCCATCCGTCCTCAGGCGCTCCAGTGAGTCACCGGACGGTCTCTTTTCCAGGTTAGAGCTGTGTCTCTGGCAGGCTGTAATTATGTGTGAGCTGAAACGAGAAGGGTTATCAACACACACAAGCATTTCAGGAACAGGTTTTGGACGATGAATCACCCATGTCAGTGTCCTGCTCAGGCCTTTTGCAAGGGCCAGGCCAGCTCCCTCTGCTTGGCTCGCACTTGATCATGTGACAGCTGTTTGCCTACTAAAGGAAAGAAGCCATCATTGACTGACAGGAAACGTAATCCTGGGCAGGTGCGGTTTGAGTAAAGACTCGGCCTGAAGGTCAGAGCCTTTGTAAAGATCCAAGCTTTTGCAGATGGGGCAGTGGGAGGAGCGAGATTCAATTTCCCCCAGTCCATCTGCAGCCCCCAGACTGTCCTCCTCCCTCCCGTGGAGAGGGCTACCCATGCTCCAGATATTGTTGAACTTTTGAACCCAAGTACACTGCGGCATTTAGGAGGCTGTTTTCACGCTTCAGATAAAGCAGTCGCAAATTCTAAGGAAACTGTAGACAGATCCATTTTCCTTTTCCTCTACTGATGTGAGCGAGCTAATTAGAAATCAGCGCTTCAGCGGCTTCCTCCCCTTGTGTTGGGATCCTTTTTTTTTCTGAAAGATGCTTATGGACATGAACAAAAGCCGGATGCCGAATTAGGCCTTCTGATGAAGTGCTCTGTGTCGGATGTGTCTGGAGTTTACAGACCACATTTTCCTCTGCTGGACCAAACAGGATCCTGGCGGGTGTTAGGACTCCCTCCACTCAAGTTGTGTTTTCAGAGTTTGAAACTGCCCCTTTAAAAGAAAAGAAGAAAATGAACCTGTCCCCTCACCATCTTACTTTATAGCCATTACTAATGGCTTTCTTTCCTATTTATATTGCTTGGATCTAACTGAGGTGCCAGGTACACAAATATGTCACAGTTAAGCCTTTGAGTACTTGAAAAACCGTAACAATGCCCCCAGGAGAGATGCAAAGTGGTTACCCTTTATGGGGAAAATACACAAATATCCGTTCTGAAAGCACTAATATATAAATCTGTAGAAAGGAGATAAGAGTCTAGTGTTGTCTTAGATTCAACCCAATCTATTATAGGAGAAAGTGGTGACTTTGGGGGGAAAATATAGAATACTTGCTAAGCAAATCCAGTGCTCTGAGTAGATCCCTTCTTGTGGTTTGGAGACCAAAACTTAAAACCCACAATTATACTGTATAGATGAGCCTTGGTCTATATTTAGCATATAATCTCTACACTACATGGCTCCATATGGCTATGAGCTCCACTTAGGAGCTAAAAATGTGTGTTCCCTCCCACCATATCCAGAATTGGAATCATAGGTAATAATGTGGGCTTCAGGAAAGAGTTCAAGGTCAAGTCACTGGTGGACAGTCTTCCCTATGAAAAATCTTGGAAGAAGCTAAATAAATTTCTATTGAGCAAATAAGTGAAAGTTAATACTTTAGGAAGAATTCACACCCCTCATGACTTCATGAGAATATAATGTGGGATACTAGAAAGTTCTAGATTCATCTAGAACTACATGTCCATTATGGAACAGGCATGGGATATCATGAAGCCGGTGCAGACAGGCTCATTGTCAGAACTAGTGGCAAGAGAGACCATGGCAAGTTGAGTGGTTTGCCAGACTGAGCATCGGAGTAGTAGTTTGAATGTGGATTCTGTATGTCTGTAGGCACATGCGTTTGAACACTTGCTTCCTAGTTGCTGCCAGACACTGTTTGGGAAGTCTGTGGAACCTTTAGAAGATGGAGCCTTACGGGGAGGAAGTAGATCACTGGGGGCGGGCCTTGAGATTTTATAGCCCAACTCCACTTGCTCTTGCCTCTCCTTGAGTCCAGATTCATGTGACCCTCTGCTCCTGCCATTCTTTCCCCTTGAGCTGTAATGGCTTCCCTTTAAGTTGTTTGTTGTCAAGTATTTTGTCACAGTGCTGAGAAACTGATTAATATGAGAGTTATCTTGCAAAGTCTTAAAAATATATAATAAAAAAGAGCATCCACTCGCTGCCCTAACGCCCAGGAAGTACAGTGCACAGTCAGGAAGGTGTAGTCTTTATAACAGATGAGAAATGCTGGACATGAAAAGGAGATGGTTTGTGGGGATGGGCCAGTGACTCAGGCAGGGCATGAACCAAGAAAGGGGCAGACCTTCCACAGGCACAGCAGGGGAACCATGTGCCCATCTGGCGGTCTGTTTCAAGTTGATGTAGCAGATGTTTATGCATAGTACTTGCATCCCATATTGTGATAGAAATGTGCAAAACAAGATTCACTTCTCATGGAGTGGGAATGCGCACTAACGCTCAGTATGTTGCGGACCTCTGAGCACAGTCCTCTTAAGAACCTGGACGTTTCGATAACCTCTGGCTTTGAAGGTGCCTTCAGTGGGAGATGGTGTTTAAACTGGTGTGTGGAAGGGGTTTTCTGGAAGCAGAGGCTGAAGAGGTGGTTAGGAAGTGAGAAATGCTGTGCTAGAGAGAACTGTGCCCAGAGCCCAGGGCTAGGTTTCTTCCTGATCCCTTTGCCTGTTGGGTTATATCCTCTAGATTTCACAGTAAAGCCAACACCTTTCCCACCAAGGAGCTCTTCTTGTAATGGTGGATTTGCTGCTGAAGAAGTTGAGGGGCAGTTGACCCTAAGGCAGGAGGGGCTGTGCACTGGGGCAGATGCCTGGGTTTGTCTCCCACAGAAGGTAAGCCTTCTGATGGGTCACAACTTTCAAAGGTGACTCCCGTCTTGTGAGACACGTAGTAGGTGCTAATAGTTACTCTTTGGTTAATTAAAAGATCTGTACTATGTACTCATTAAGCAGAGCGGTCAGTTTCTCTGAGAATGCATGCATGCCTTATTTTTCTCCTTTCAATAAAAACAAAAATGGGGAAATAAAAATAATTCAGAGTAATTGTTAGCACTTTCTTCAAGCCCCTTGATAATTCTCTTCCATATGCCCTCCCCCTCCCATTCCCTAATTACATGTCATTCTTTCTCCCTGGACTGCAGTCTTCTATAACAGCATCAAAACTATTGCAGCTTGCAGGACCCAGGTAGTTGAAAACCAGCTAGACTGTCTCCTCTCAGCTCTTGAGATGAAGCCATAGAATGTGGGAATAGCTGCATTTTAAGCACTAGAGATCTTTGCTACTTCCTCTGGAACACTGGGAGGAGGACCTCCCAGACTTAGCAAGATGAGAAAGGGAGCCGCAGAGGTGCTGAGGCTTTCTTCGAGCTTATGTCTTTACTGTTGGTTGGATTGCATCTCTGCAGAATATTCACGAGGCAGGAAAGAGTGTGCCTACTCTCCCTCCTTGCCTTGAAGGATGTCAAATCCAGGTGGGAAGTAATGATCTCGATGAATTTTAACACTTGTCAGTTGGCAAATGTTCAGGGAAAACAAATGAAAGGTTGGTTTGTTTACGTGCCATTATTTGGTGATTTGCTGCCAGAGTCATTTCCTTCATTGAAGACTAGACAGTCTTCCATCATGAAGTACTGTGGGGCACTGGGGACTCTACTGGGCTTTTTGACACTTCGTTGTCTTCTGGTTTGCGTTTGTCTCTGATCACCCACCCATTCGTATGACACTAATTTGCTCCTGTTATTACTTTATCTTTTCCATAAGCCTGTGTTGGGTTGTTGAATCATGGGAATGATTTTACTCTTTTACTAACTTTCTGGTTTGCAAATAAACTAAATATTCATCCACACCTAGATAATGCATGCGTGCTTTATCTTTCCCTCAATGGATTGTAGTTTTCCTCTTCAATTTTTTTAGACTTTGGAATTTTCATTGTAAATTCGAATATGATAAAACTCGCTAATCCCTAAAGTTTGCTAAAGATGGTCTCCTCCCTGCAAGCCTTTCTTCAGTGCTGCAAATTAATAGCTAAGTAATACTGTCCTAGTAGATCTGGTGTGGGGGGATGTGTGTTAAAAATCCCCAGTATAAACTGTTTCTAAGTGTCCGTAAGTACTTCCGAAGTCTCCTCTTCTACACCAGCACTTGAGGTGGTAATTATGTATGATTCTTCTGTGTTCATTAAAATTTGAGCCTAAGGGCTCCTCTGGTAATTCGTTACCTTCCCATAGGTTGAAAGTAATAAAACTGCTTTGCTTTAAAAGAAAAGGTTGTAATTCAGTGAGTTTACTAATTCACATGAGCTTTCTTTCCATTCTTTTCTAGGTAATGATGGTGTTTTTAGTACCTGCAAGACTAAGGGACTATCTGGCCTCACTGAGAAGAGATCTAGGTTGTTTTGGAAGGTGACTATGATTGATTTTGCTACACGTACTTCCAAAGGCACGGTGAGCCCCTTCTTAGTTTCTGAAGTCTACTTCTGTCCTCTTGTTTCTGGGTTTTAATTTTCCCCTTTGAAACCAAAATAAGAAGTCCCTCCACCTTGGTAAGATAGCTTTTCAAAAGGTTGCATGGGAGGTGGAGGATGGGGGCAGCTGGGGGTGCAGCTCAGTTGACAGAGGGCTTGCCGCTCATGTGCGAAGCCTTGGGTTCAATCCCCAGCACCATGTGAACCAAATGTGCCGGCACAACCCTGCAGTCTAGCACGCAGGAGGTAGAAACAGGAAGGTCAGAAGCTCAAGGTCATCCTTGACTACACTGCGAGTTCCAGGTCAGCCTGGGTTTCATGAGACTCTTGTTTCAAAAAGAAATAAAATGAAGTTTAAGAACATGTCCAAGAAGTACGAGCAGTATCAAGTTCTGTGGGGAGATGAATCGATCAACAAATTGTAGTATGTTCATATAATGGAATGTTTGGCTTTAACAAGGATAGAAATTCCATCACAATATGGCCGAACCTTGAGGACATGGTGCCCTGTGAAATAAACCAGGCACAAAGGACAAATATTGTATGGTATGCAGTGTTAGGAAACAACGGAGCAAGCTCACAGGCATAGAATCAGGTTGGAGGTTCTCTAGGAGTTGGGGTGGAAGAGGGAAGCATTAGTGTTGAATGGGTCCACTGCGTTTTGTAAGATGGAGAGTTCTGTGACTGGGTGGTAGGCATGGTAATGAGATAAGTGAAGGAACTCAGTACCACTGAAGGGTTCACTAAAAATGGTTAGGATGCTAAACACGTAATAAAGTTACAAAAAGGAAAACTGTTTTCTTTCAAATTAATTTGGTTTTTTGAAACATGGTCTCGGGTGACCTAGGCTGGCCTAGAACTCCCTTTGTAGAGGAGGCTGGCCTTGAGCTCCTGGTCTCCCTGCCTCATGCCCTCAGTGTCGTTACAGTTCTGCCCACTGTGTCTGGCCTTAAAGGGCGCACCCTCGATACCATTTCTTAAAATGTACAAGCTGGAGGTTAGAGAGATGGTTCATCAGTCCAGGTTGGTGTCTGGATCCTTGCACTCTTACACACCTGAACCTCAAGCTCCAAGGGATCCAGTGCCCTTTCTGGCCTCTGTGGGTACCTGCACGTATATACATATTGACATAGACACAGAAACATACACAGGAATAAAATAAAGCTGGAAAAACCTCACGTTATTATATAAAATATTAAGTTCATTTGCAATATTTATATATGCAATAATTATAAGTATGTATGCTGTTGTCTCATAATTTAAATGAAATAAAATTGTATAAATCTTGATAATAAATAAGATGATTGAACTTAATGTCAGTAAAGCAAATGAATCCCCAAATCGAGGCCAATTAAATTTCTTAATTTGTGCTGTTTGTGTATCTCCTGTGCTGACATTTTCTAGTTTGGCTTGCTAACATATGGTAAATAATGTTGCTGTTCTTTGCTTTGAAATTGGAATCCCTGGAACACATGAAAATCAATCTGTGTTCAAAAGCAGAGAGCCTGGACTGGAGGAGAGCTGCTTAGGGTTCAGAGGAGGCAATGGGGAGCTGTTAAGAGGCGCACTTTGGTTCAGTGGATTGGGGTGTGGCCTGGGCTTCTGCATTTCTAAGGAACTCTGCCAGATCCCTAGCTTAGAGACCCCTGCATGCCCCTGATGGCTCTGCCCTCTCCTTGCTAGTTTAGAGTTCATGACTATTGTATTACTTATGTCATTTGTGACAAAATGCCCAATAAAAGCAACTCAGTGAAGGAATGGCTTGTTTTGACCTACAGTTTGAAGGCCCAGCCCATCATGGTGAGGAAGATGAGTGTGTGGCAGCTGGTCACATGGCATCTACTGTCAGGAGCAGAGCTGGCTTCCTTGTTTTTTATTCGGTCTCATGGAGTGGTATCACCCACATTGAGGACAGCCTTCTACCTCAGTTCACATAGTCTAGAAACTCCCTCACAGACACACCCAGAGCTTTGTCTCCTGGAATTCCAGATCCTGTCACTGTGGCATTCAGTATGAACCGTCATGCCTATCCATGCCAGCCCTGGTGTTCGTTGGTCTCTGGGATGGATATTTTTTGCTGTTATTATCTTACTCTTTCTGATCCTGGGTTCTGCACTCTGGTGGGGTGCTTCACTAGAGGAAAATGGAAGGAAGTGAGGCGGGGCTGTCTTACAGGACGTCTTGAATCCTCTCTCCATTTTCTGTGGTCATTGTTGTGAAGGACAGCTGACTCAACAGAATTGTAGCCCGTCTTGCCGTTCTCTTCCGAACTAAATTTCAGGTGAATAAATGTTCACTGAGAACTAAGTATGTACAGGGTGCTGTGCTTATCCCAGAGTTGTGGCTCTTTCATTAAGGAAGCCAAGAGGGGAGGGGTGGGTGTGTTGATGCTGTTCCTGACCAGGCACGCTCCTGCAGCCGTCTGATACCACAGATGTGCAAACTCCTCCTGGGAGCCATCTGCCCTGGGCTGCCTCTCTGTCTTCAGCCTCATCTGGAGATGGCTGCCTTTTGTTTTTTCATGTTTTACATTCCTATTGCTCCAGTGATTGAAGTGGAAAGTCTCCGTTTCAAGACACAGCACGCTTGTTTCTGTGAAGGGTCTTTCTAAGTTGTGTCCAATTACTTCATCAGTCCTCATGCAGACAGCATTATTAATTATTATTGTTGCTGGGGAATAAGAATTGTCCCTATGACATCATATAGAAGGCAGAATTTGAATCTGCCTCCTAGAGTCTACTCCTTGATTCCTGTTCACTCTACAGCCTGGTTCCCTGTAGATCCATCATGGACTGTGATGGGCTTTACTCTGGTGCTTAGATATTTTATATACCTCAGTCGACCTTAGGATATGGAGACTGCCAAAGTGAAACTGGGTTCCTTATGTATTAATGGAAATAAAACTTGTCACTCATATATAGGAGGTTTCAATCAGTGGAAAGGGTATCTATAGAGAAAATTGGAGCCCATCTTTGCTCTGACCTTCCTAGCCAGGGCGGGTCTCCCATTTCCCTGAGTGCCATCTGTGAAGCAGAGGAGAGGGTCAGCTAACATCTATCACATGATCAACTCTGCTTTCCTTTTTTTTAAAAAATTATTTTTATTTTATGTGTATGTAGGTGCACCCGTGCCGTGCAGTGCCCACGGCAGTGTTCAGAAGAGGGCATGGGATCCCCTGGAACTGGAGTTATGGATGACTGTTAACAGTCATGCGGATGCTGGGAATCAAACCCTGGTCCTCTGCAAGAACGGCCAGTGCTCTTAGCTGCCGAGCATCCCTCCAGCCCTCCACACTGCTCTTCTTTAACAACCTTGTAGAACACAGTCCCATGTCTCACTTATTCTCCCGTCCCTGACACACTAGGTCTAGGATGGGAGTCTGTTGTATGAAATTTTTTGGTAGTTAAAAACAGTTGAAAATTGCCGAGTTCATTTTAAGAGCACCCTAACATATCCCTGTTTGGTGTAGTAGTTATCTAAAGTTTGCACCAAAATGTCACATCAACACGTATTATCCCATTGAAAAAGTAGTGGTGGACAAGGATGGAGACAGGGAGCTCCTGGGGGCTTGTTGGTCACCAGCATGGTCTGAAAATGGTGAGCTCTAGAGTCCTAGTCTCAAGGGAATAGGGCAGACAGCCTCCACCCGTGTACACCCACTCACCTCCCCCTTCTAAGATCCAAGGTGGTTCTGACTAGAAGTGGTGCTCTGTGTAAACACCTGCTCATCAGCAGTGACTTTGGGTGTTTTGACATGGTTGGTTTGGGGAACCTATCCTGGCCTTGCACCTTACTGTGCCTGAGCCTGGACTCTTTGAATTTAGAGTCCTATTTATATCCATGTCTGGGTCTGACTACTTGGATTTTAACACAAGTGGTTGCACGAAGTCCTCAGAGTTACTAGTCTTTTTCCTATGAGATGATTCTTCCTTGTGCTGAAGGATCTTATTCACATTGCAAAATAATAATCTGCAGAAAATTAAGGGCACTCGAGTTATAATATTTTGGGGACATGATGATATTTCAAAGGGAAAATGCTAATTATGGAGAGTGCTCTTCCCCCAACACCTGGAGCTGCTCTTCCCGTTATCAACTCGATGCTGATTTTCATAAATTGGATTGTGAGTGGTTGGGGAGGGGGAGCCCAACAGCTCAGTCACCAGGAGGATGGTGAGAAGTCTCTGCCAGTCATCATGAAAGGGAGAAGGGAATACATACCTCAGCTGCCTTCCTGCATGCACAGAGCCTCTGGGGACCTCTAGAGAGGCTGGGCTTCCAGTCTGGGAAACGGTATCATCTGCATGGGCGAACTGTAAAACAATGTCTTCTTGGGAGCTGGAGAGATGACTGAAGCACTTGCCTTGCAAGTGTGAGAACCCGACTTCGGATCCCCACTCCCCTGTAAAAGCTGGGTGTGGTGGGATGCCTTAGTTAACCCAGGACTGGAGGGAGGCAGCCTAACCTAACTACTGAGCTCCAGGTTGAATGGGAGACCTGTCTCAATACGGTGTGGAGTGATTGGAAGACACCCGATGCCAGCCTCTGCACACAAACACATACCATGCACAGATACCACCTTCTGGATTGTTCTCTTGGATATCATACAATACACTATGAAAAAGCCAGAGTAGCATTCTGTCTTGAGGTTCCTGCCTCCACCAGAGATAGTAATAGACCCCTTCTTCCAACCAAGGGCATCCCCTCTTCGTACACATCCCCACCCCACCCCACCCCCCGGCTTATATCAGTAGTGTGAGCTGTTTCTCCTATGACTTTTCATTTTGCCTCAGCCCTGCCCGTCCTCACTTGACATTTGGTTCGTGAAAATGGCTTCTGTGGAGCTATTGTTCCTTCTGTCATTTTTTAAGACAATAGCGTAGGATGGTGGGGAGGGGAGAGGGAGTCGAGGATCCCACACAGGCAGAGGCCCGAACGTGTGTAAAAGCAGTGGGGTGCTCTGTGAATCGTGGCCTCATTTCT